AACAATAGTATCTAAATTATATACATTATTATAACCATGTTAAGCATTATGACCACCAGTAAATTATGAATATATTTAATGTGCAAACGTGCACATTAATATACAGAAACTGGACTAGGGAAAGCTTGCATATGTTTCTGATGTATTTTAGAAAGAGTGTCATTATTAGCTGCACTTTAGTCAAAAAAAGCATACTACTTCACCAATTCTCCTCATTTTCAGCTTCATGTATTTATTTTTGGACCGCACTGGAGTAGCTTTGCATGATTCACAGTTCAAAATATACGACGGGAAATAAGGAAAAGCAGAAAGGATCCCTTTCAGCTGCTGAGCAACACTTTGATTTATCCTTTCAATTCAGAATGATGTTATCATCTCTAATAAGCTCCCATCTGTCCTGTTTCTTCCAAATTACCAACCTTTTATGCGCCACTTGTGAATTTTGAATTATTTTGAGTTATTATTACACTCTCCCCTCTTTTTTTCCCCTGGTTCAGAGGGAAAATCCACTCTCTTCCTGTTGTGCAGACAAGGATATACATGTACGCAAGCAAAGGTTCACAACACACTGGGGAAGTTTTTCTCTTTTTAAAAACCACATCGATACAAATGTTCACTGATATGATCTTTTTCCACCTTCTCTTTTCACTATATTAAATTAACTTCAGTGATAGTAAGAGTCCTTTTAGTAACGGTGTGTTTTATAATACAACACAAGACATTCTTCTAAGTCTAAATAATACTGTTGCTATGTTATGGTGAGTAGTTTACATGCACTTGTTGTAATATCTGGATTTTAATGATTTTTTTTTAGGTTGGAATGACTGTACAGAATACGTTTTTATTGAGTGCACTAGTTTGAATTTATTTTTGACTTTCTCTAATCCACATAGGTTTAAAAGTATGTAGACTCAAACAGATAGATACACTCACTTAAATCATTTAATAAGTGGTGCTGAGGGTTCTCAGTGTCTTTTAATTTGATGAGGCCAAGACCTGTTAACCTCTTGTTAGTGATCATGATTGGCTACAACTGGTAGTTTCAGTTTCTGTTTGAGAGCACCACTTAGATTGAGCAACAGTCTGAACAACCGGAAAGTCCAAGTGGAAATCTAAGAAGGAGAACACAAGTTGGAGACATTTCTAAACAGTTGCAGATTCCAACAGTATAAGTTCATCATTAATTGTATGTAAGTACAAGTTATTCGAATGTGTCATCACCTGACCACGGTCTGGAAGAAGATGCAAACTGTCACTCTCTGATGAAAAGAAATACGTTTCTAAGGTTATTAAAGATGTGTATTGTACAATCAATGCACTGTTGGAAAAGAACGGTTCAAAGAAATGATGAGAAACATGACAAGTTACTTTTTGCATAATACTCAGTATTTTGCACATTTCCATTGCACTGTCCTGTGTCTGTATCGTCCTGTTCTGTCTAGTGTTGCACTGTCTTGTCTTGTTTTGGGGTTTTTTGCATTTTTTGCACATTGCACTTTACGTAGTCCTATGTTTGTCTGTTATATGTCATATGTAGCACCAGGGTCTCAGAGGAACGTTGTCTCGTTTCACACTGTACATGGTTGAAATGACAATAAAAGCCACTTGACTTGACATTCATGTCCATGATGAGTGTAAGTGTATATCTCACCCAAAATATACCTATTTTCTTACCTGATATGCTTGTATATGTAGCTATAATTAGCTCTCTTCATAAGCTGCTTTGTCGAGCTAAAAGAATGGGTCAATGAAGCTTTAGGTCACCGATCGCCTGATTGGATTATCAGAGATCAGATATCAGCAACTTCTTACCAGCTGTCTAAAAACACTGCAGCCAGCATTGTGTTAGCCTTCAGTTCTTTACTTTATCAAGCTCGAGTATTGTCTTTCCATTGTTTTGCATTTTCTCTGTTCAGACATGTACAATGATAATAAAGGGCTATTCTATTCTATTTTTCACACTGTTTAAGACCAACAGCGTGTAATTTCTGCTTGCAGAAAACCAATTTAGTATATAGATACTCCATTTTATATAGAAATTGGAGTATCTATATGTCTGTATACCACTGACTGCACTGTGCTTTGTCTGCACTGATTTTCAAAGTCAGGACACATTCTCTGCTAATTAGTTTTACTCCCTGACCTCGTATCCTTCTGATTTCACAACCGGTATGAGAGAGGAGGAGGGATTGAAAAGACGTGGTGGGGTCATAAAGTCATTTTTCATATTAGTGATTTAAAGAGATGCTTATCTGACAGAAAGGGCAAGAAACTCCAAGGCACAGTATACTGGTGAGGGTTTTGGAGCCCCCGAGCAGTACTGAAGTAGTGAAGCACCTGAACTGTGTTTTCATAACAGCACAGTTTCACCTTGTACCTTACTACACCACCAATCTCTGTTCGCCACACTCTCTTTGAATCTTTTGGTTTCTCTGAAGGAGATGTGTCATCTTAAAAACCAGACAGTACTTGTTAAAGTTGAATAGAATTAATAAGTACTTCTCTTTTTTGGAAGTACGCTGTGAAAGCCAACTGAGGGCTCAGCACACGCTGAACTGGAGACTAATAATGAGAGATTAAAGTGTTAGACTTTTTAGACTATTTACGATCCCCTTTGTTGTAGTTTTGCATTAGGTTTAGTGCAGAAACATGGGAATAATGGTGGAAAGGCTTAAGGAAGTAGTCTGCCTCCCTGTTGCACTCGCTGTCCATAAGGGGGGAGGGGGACATGAGTTAATTGCATTTTTTTACAGGCTGTCTCAAGTGGAAGCAGCTTAATGAGGTTAGGCAGCTCGCCTCGTTGAGAATCACAACTGTTCCTAATTGTGATCTCAAATATGCTCATAATCCCCTGATTTGACAGCAGCAGAGGTTTCTGGGGAGGAATTAAGGTGAAAGAGAAAGAGCGAGACACAGAAAGACAATTAGCAGCAAGAAAAACATGTGAACAAGTGTATCAGCTGAAGACAATCGTGCTACCTTTTAAAGAACATGAAGAGTAATTACAGATTTTAATGCTGTGTCTGAAGTCTGTTCAGTATTGTTCTGTCTCTTATTTTGCTCTGTTAAATTTTGAGACTTTTCTAAAGAGCTTCTGCTTGAAATGTCCTATTTTGTTGGGCTAGGATTGCACCTAACCTTGGTGCTGTCATACCTCCATTATACAACGCTGTTGCATCAATAACTATGTTATTAGTATAAGCAATATTTCCACATACCAGTGTACCTACTGTGATTTCATTAAACATGCACCACTTTTAGTGATTGCATAAATATGCAGGGTCATCCTTTATCTTCCATCTATGTTAAAGCTAGAAGCTCTAGGAACCCCTTGTTTAGTACTTCACGCGTCGTGATCGTGACAAGTCATGACCAGTGATAGGCCCCAATCCTTAACAGTATCCCCACTTTTTTTTGGCGGGGGGGATTGTGTTTGTCAGAATTATTATTTTTTGTTGCTCACCTGAGTATGAAGAACAATTTAAAAAGAACAAAATGACGTATTCTAATGGCGTAGGTTTAGTGTCAACACAGATGACTGGTTGCTGATTTAGACTCCTGCCATGAATCTCAGCTGAGCTAAAATATAACTTGTGTGTGTGTTTGATGCTGTTGCCAGCATTTATGCTTGTGGTGGTATCCCGGTGTATATGTTTTATATACAGTACCAGCCATGATAGAAACAAATAAAATGCTGAGACTTTTCCCTTCTCGGGTCTCTACTCTTTGTTGCTGTCAATTTCTTTATTTTTATTTCAGAGGCAACCATAGTTGTTCCATCTCTTTGCAAAGTCCCTCAGGTCAACTCCAATAGTTTTGACAATCTCCCTGCAGGAATTTGCTGGCATCTGTGAATCCTTATATTATATATTCTTCTGTCACTAATCCATTGAAAAACTGCAGAGACAAAGTATCTACAAATGTACAGGAGTAATCAACAGTACTAAACAGGCCAATCGTAATAGTTGTGGGCTGTGTCGACACAATGTGTAGTTACATTTCTAGGGAAGTGCATGTTAGGTAACAGTATAGGGTTTCAGGGGGGTTGGGGTTTAGCACAGACCTATGTTGTAGATTTAACTCAGTAGTATAAATACACTGTTAGAACTCACAGGGTTGAAAGTTCTTCAGACTATTTAGTGCCGTAATACTGTGGATCGTCTACAGCATGTATGAAGAAGATCCACACTGCCCAGTGATCACGAAGGCAACTAACTTCTTGCTACCTTTAATTTCACGGTATGTTAAGCAAGGTGAACCAGACTCGCCTGTACAGCACACCTTGTAACCAGATCATATTAAACCCCCAGAGGAAATAATGAATGAAATTAGGATGTTTTTGCCTGTGGACCAGTGAAGGGCACTTTAGGTCATCTTTCCAGACTGATCAAGCAGATATTTCACCTTGACTGAAAACCGTATCATTCAGCCACTATCCAGTCACAGAACAGCAATGAATGACACGAAGATATGAACATAAATAAATCCATCAGGTCACCTCTGACAAATCCGTCTGCAGGGCAGAAATGAACCTTTGCTCAGTCAGGCCCAGTCAGGTTTGCTTTGAATGTTGTGAATCACAGTAATGGTTGCCCTGATACTATAGCCACCACCAGCAATGTTTCACCCCATGTCCCCTCCGGAGGCAACGCTCACGTTGCAGCTCACAGGATGGTTTCGATGAGAACAGCAGAACGCCTGTTTGACAGATGGCGGGGTCAACTTTCTGTGCATTAAATGCTGCCAATGCTACTGTCCCCATTCTAGCTTCAGGGTGCATTGATGGAGTTTTGAACTCTAAGGTCACATGACCACAAGCTGTCCTGAACTGTCAGAAAATGTGAGATGACTCAAGGCAGCAGACAGCTTCAATATGTGTCCACTGCACCCGAACAAATCGTGCTGTAGGCTCAAAACACAGTACTTATGAAGTGGGAGTATTATCTGATATGTTTGCCAAAAGAAAATGTCTGTCCTCTGTGTCCCCTCTGACTCCTCAGAATGAAGAACAAGCTGTGGTACTTTGAGTTTGGCACCACTGAGACCATTTCAGCCACCTGCAAGAAACTAAACGAATGCATAGAAGTGGAGGTGAGTCACAGTCTTATCAAAGCTGCTGTCTCTGATGCAGAATTGATGAGTAATGGCTGAAAGTGACTGGCTGGTTAGATGACAAAAACACTGGAATATTGTTTTTAAATACTGAAGACATGCTATATTTGATGCATCAAAAAAGATAAATATGAAACATCCTGTTACAATAGATACCAACAACTTTGGCTTTCTGTGGAACTCTTTATAGAGCTGATACTTAATGTTTTTCCAAAAAAGAAAAAAGTGTGTCAGAAGTTTACAACAAAGTAGTTTGCTCGTATTAATGAGGCAGGCTATTCATAGCACATCATCAGATTAATGCTCCATAAAGTCACTGATTGCCTCATTCTGTCATACAGCGCTGAATAATCTGTCACCTGGGTGCTTAAAGCACAGCAAGACTCTGAGAAAACACATGAGAAACATACCTTATCAGAAGGCACTGACGAGAAATGGAAACGGGCTCTGTAGCCCACAAGGTTCACATTCCACTGCCTCCCTCCACAACTCAAAAACACCTCGTGTTTACATCATGTTATGAGATATTGAGATCAAAAGTCATTCCACTATCTACAGTATTGTGCTAAATGTTTGAGCCACCCCTCATTTCTTTATATTTTGCTTCCTAGACTTTCTTGTAATTTTTTAAGTGGTCTTGAGCAAATTTCAAATTTCTCTGGGGTTTCTAGAGGTCTTTCAGAAGTGTTTCTTTTGACATTGACTGTTTTGTCACTCATTTTCTTTTCTTGTACCTGATTTTTTTGTTTGTTTGATCATTTGTTAAGGCTTTTAACACTGACCTAAGAATCATTCAACAATAGAAAGACACATAACTCAAAGAATAACTTAGCACATTTGTTCCCAATTCTTTAGTTCAATCTTTGAAAAATATGAAAGGTAACAGTTTAATAGGCATAAAATAGTTTTAATTTTTATGCACCAAGAAGGTGAGTCCCAAATAGCTATTAGCCTATCTCAACATAGTGTGTACTGTGTCCTTAAACAATTTGAGGAAACCGGACAAGTGGAGGCCGAAAGAAATGTCACGCTTAAAAAATTACAGCAGATGAACTGAAATATGAAAGTTATGTCCTTAAGCAACACCAAAAGAAAAACCCGACAGCCGACCCGAGAAATGCATCTAGGCCTTCAGGTGATCCATCTACTGTTCACTGAAGTTTCATCAGAAAAGTGTCTCAGTGGAAAGTTGACTGATCACCAAGCCATTCTTAAGGAAGTGAAACAGGAACAAAAGTCTGAGGAGTGAAGATCATCAATATATAAGGAGGAAGTCAGGGGAGAGTTGTAACAGCAGTTTTGTCCCAATTCATAGGCCGAATCCTTCGGAGGACCCGGCCTTCGCAGTCTTCATGGGTCAGGTCCCTTGAAGACCGAGAAGGCCGGAAGTGCAAAGCTGTGAAATGGGACAGTCTAGCCTTCAGATTTGTGTCGCCACTGTCTCGGTGGAGTTTAATAAACTCAGCCGTCTGCTCCTTGCTATCTAAAATATAACAGGACACTGGAGTAAATTCTCGACCATCTCACACTTCTGTTTAATCAGTTTTCAGTTTGATATTCATTCAGCTGTGTGAAAACTATAACTTTAATCTCAGTCAAACCGATTTACTTAGGAATAAATAAAACATTGAAAAAAGCCAAACAGTAACATTTTTAAGTTATCTAAGTGACGTATATATCATGTTTAACCTGAGTAGTGAAAGACAGCACGGGGTCTGAAAATGATGTGCCGAGAGTTCACTATTCTCGCTGGCTCTAATGAGCCTTGACCACCCGGTTAGCTATCGAGCTATCGGTAACAGACATCAAAGCACTTTTGCAAATATGTGATGTCTTAATAAAACGAGCAGATATTTGAAAATATATGAAAAGTTTATTTTGTGACCCAAAAAGAGTAATAAGAGTAATACTAAAACCAACTAGCTGCCGCCATTGTTGGAAACTGGAATTGGCTGGGCCGCGCTATGAATTCTGGGATAGGTTGGTCCACGAAGGATATACCCGACCCATCCTTCAAATTCTGGGAAATGAAGGACACATTTGTCGGCTGCATTTGGAGCAGCCTTCGAATTGGGACATCCTTCATCGCCTGGCTGTGACGTGATCGGCCTTCAAATGCAGCCTCCGAAGGATGCGGCCTATGAATTGGGACATAGCTAGCGAGTGTCTACAGCTATCTGTAAAACACTGTCACAGTCCTGGGTCAGTAACCAAATGTTTTGATTTGTTTTATTATTATTATTAATCTGTGATTTCATCATGGTTTCTGTTTTGTATTTCCAACGCTCTAGTCCTTCTTTGCTCTCTTAATTCCAGTTCTTAGGTTTCGTTCTGGTGCCCCCATGTTTAGTGTAGGTTTAGTTATGTCTTCGTGTTTGCCTTCTTGTTCCCCAGTCAGTCGTGTCTCATGTCGCTCATGTCCCTGTACTCAGCGTTCCCTCTGTTCAGTGTCTAGTCTGGGTCTCTGGTCTGTTATGTACTTCCTGTTTTATTTTGACAGTCCTGCTCTGTGTTCAGCCTCTGTTCCCCGTCTCGTCTGTGTAATTAGTACCAGCTGTGTTTCCCTTCTGTCTCCTGTTTCATGTATTTTAGTCCTCTGTCATCCCCTGCTCGTCGTCGCATCTTTGTCTTGTGTTTCTCTCGTCATGTTTTGAGCCTGTGTTTCCTAGTGTCCAGTTTAGTTTAGGTTTAGGAACAAAATGTCATTGATGCAATTGTAGCATCCACTGCTATGAGCTGCCCTTTGGTGTTTCAGCTGATTGTGCACCTCTCAGTTTTTCAGTGGCTGGGTTAAAGATAGTTGTCCAGGTTTTTCCACTGTTTCAGTGATATATTGCTGCAGAACCTAAGAAATTGAAAGCTTATAAAAAGGAAATGCTGCAAAAACTTGAAAACATTTAGTAGTGGTATAAATGGTGACGGGGCTGTGGCAATATCACAGTTGGATCGCAACACAACCAATGTGATGACAATGAATTTGCCTTTGACATTTAAATTGGTAGATGTGGTGGGCAAATTCAGGAACATTTAGCAATAATTAAAGGAATTCATTCCAGTAGAACAACAAATGAGAGTAGTTGAGACTGCTGGTACCCTGATGAGATTATTACACAATAACAAATGATACAGGTCACCCTGACCTCAAGGCAATACATTTCTAGTGAAAACGTAATCAGTTAAATGAATCTCAAATCTTGTAACTTGTAACAGTAACTGCAGTACTACATGTTCTTTTAAAAGTCAAATATATCTCCTCTCTCAGTGTTTGTTAGAATTTCCTATAGCTGTGGTCCTAGCTGGATATCAAGCTGTTATTTAATCAAACATTCAAGCCAACTGAGAAACAAATAAACCTGAGCTGTTAGATGTCGTGACTTTTTTCATGTAAGCGTAATATGACTTTTTATATACCCCCTGCTCCTGTTTAAAAGCAGAATTATTCAGCACAGTTGCACATCGAGGACTTCAAAACATAATCAAGTCTGTGGGTAGTTTGATGAAAAAACCCAAACAATAGATTTGTTTAACACATTCAAAGCTTGTTCTTGTACCGTAGCCTCTCCGAAATGATCACATAATATATTCTTCTCCTTAGCCTTCAGCAGCCAGCGCTCAAAGTGCTTCCTGAGATTGTCTGTGCAAGTTACAAAGCAGGCCTTTCATGTAAACACACAGTAGAAGCTTCTCACATGTGAGCATTCCCTCAGGGTAGAGTAAACAGCAGACACATGTACAGGCAGGGAGAGTCAAAGGCAAGAATGGACAGATAAAGCCACATTTCACAGGTGTGCATGTGGAACCAGGACACCCTAGGCCACAAGTCGATGATCAGTTTAGTGATCATGTATTCACCTCTGCAGCTATATCTTCTAGACACACATGTGAATAGAGGTGCTGAGCTTTCAACTGATGACCAACTGGTGGTAAGTTGGATGAGGTGGCAGGGGAGGATGCTGGATTAACCTGGGGCACGTAAATGTATAGTGAAAGTGCGCTGGGGACAACTGGCAGAGCCACCCGTCCACAAAGTGAAAAATGGCTCAGACAGTGGCTGAAGCAAAAACACAGGTGTGGGAGGAATTCGGGGAGGCCATGGAAAAAGACTTTCGGACTCCCTTGAAGAGACTCTGGAAAACTGTTAGAATTCAGGAGGGGAAAGTGGTGCTCTACCTGAACTGTGTATAGTGTGGGTGGAGCGCTGCTCACTTTGACTGAAGATGTCAGGCGATGGAAGGAAAACTTCGAGGACTTTCTTAATCCCAGTAATACATCTTCCATAGAGGATGCAGAGTCTGGGGATGAGGGGGACAACTCGCCGATTACCTTTGGCAAGGTCACTGAAGTAGTTAAAACTTGGTGGTAGGGCCCCTGGGGTAGATGAAGTTCACCCTGAGTTCCTGAAGGCTCTGGATGTTGCAGGGTTTCTTGGTTGACAAGTCTCTATAATTTTGATTGGAGATCATGGATGGTACCTCTGGATTGGCAGACTGAGGTGGTGGTTCCCATCTTTTAGAAGGGGTACCGGAGGATGTGCTCAAACTATAGGGGCATCACGCTCCTCAGCCTCCCCGGGAATGTCTATGTCAGGATGCTGTTCGTTAATCAAACCTCAGATACAGGAGGAACAATGCGGTTATCGTCCCGGTCGTAGAACCCTGGACCAGCTCTTCATCCTCTCAAAGATACTAAAGGGTGCATGGGAGTTTACCCAACCAGCGTTATGTGAACTTGACGAACGCATTTGACCGTGTCCCGCGGGCTGCTCTGTAGGAGGTAATAATAATAATAATAATAAATTTTATTTATGAGCGCCTTTCAAGTCACCCAAGGACACTTTACAATACGATAAAACACTTAGTACAACAATGGCAGAATAAGAACAATAAAATAAAAGCACAAGATAAAATGAACAAACAGTGGATTCACAGTGAATATGCAGATTTGAACAGATGAGTTTTGAGTTGGGATTTAAACTGGGG